AGTTAGCCTTGGTGACCTAATTTATGGCAGTATATATAGAAAATATATATACACAGAAAAGGTGTGGAATTAGTGGCACTGTGTAGTATTATCGTATAGATATAAAATAGGGTTTAGCTACTGTATACACTCTGTGGGTACTCCTTATACCCCACCACACATAGGTATTCACCAGAAAACAAAGAAAAACAAAAGATCTAATGGGTGTTACCACCTCTCAGACCTTTGGTTTTTAGAGTGCAGCGCTATATTTAACCCCTTAAGGACACATGACATGTGTGACATGTCAGGATTCCCTTTTATTCCAGAAGTTTGGTCCTTAAGGGGTTAAAGGAGAGGTGAGTAAATTCCTCTTCAGAGTGATTAAACACTTACCCTCTATGTAACACTTGGTATATAATGTACATAAAAGGAAACAAAAAAAGAAATACAAATAATTGTGTAGTATATTTAGTGATGTCCCAAAAGATTGCGTGAGTTATGAATACAAGTGGACTCACATTTTTTAGAGCCTTTTCCAGTTATAAGGCTCTAAACTTCCAGGCATCTGTGTCTTTAAGGGTAGATCACACGACCCCTCTCTCAAAGGTAAAGTGCGAATGTTCATCTCCACATCATATGTAATAGACACAGACGATACAATCTAAGTGCAGTATTTTAAATAGTGATTGCAATTGTAGATAAAATTGTAAGTGCTCACCTTATTTAGAGCCTTTAAAAACTGTCTCTATGTATACAGGCCTAGTGTTAAGTTGTGGGGGGACACTACCCCTTCCCTGGAATCACTTCCTCACTTCCCAAGTGTTGGACTTTTAAAGCCCCCTCCGAAAATAAAATTCCTTGCTGGAGTATATGATCTTAATGCGGTCAATCACATGTCAATCAGGGACAATCAGTGATACAAGACACTTTTCTCTTCTTGCTGTATGCTTTTCATACAGCCAATCAAATATATATATAAATTTCATCGTTAAGCTTTCTTGAAGAATCTTATCCAATGAAAGAATAATGTATTTTGACAAGTCAAGTATATGGGTATAATCAAGCCAATGATGCTGTCATTCATTGGAGATTGAGTTCAGTGTTTCATCTTCATTGACCTGACAGTCCATATTTTTTATTGTAACTTTCTGACCATCTGTTTTAAAGTATTTCCCAACTAGTGTGTTTTTGAATTCTCCAAACCTGCATGGGAAAATTAATCGTCTTGTTTGGAAAAACAAACATATGTGTAAAACATAAATTACATTAATAATAATTGTCTCCTCTACTGGGGTCTTCAAGAAAGCTACGGTAAGACTTTAATTCCCAAACACAGTAGAAAGGATCTATCTTATGATCAACAAGGGATGATAAAAGCTGGATTGGCTAGTTCTTTTGACTGTAAAACCATATAACTCAAATTAAATTTCACAATGTAACGATTGTATGTATGTATAAACAAGTTAATTTACTGATTTAGTGATATGCTTCTACCTTATTCAGGACAGGTTACATGTATTCCATAGTTCAAATATTTCTACAGTGCTAGGTAGACTTTAGAGAAGGCAATAGAAGGCCATATGATCTTTATAAAAGCCCTTCTAATTTATTATTTCTTCTGAAAAATGGTAAGTCTTCCGTTTGGTGGCTGTTGAGTTGGGTAACAATGTGATAGTCATTAGAGAATGTAATAAGTGGGGAACGGGGAGGGGGGGTGCTGATTAACAGCCAAACTGTATGCCAATGAAGTGTTATTGTGTTCTAATACAAGGATTCAAGCCGCATTCTACCCTTAGGCAACAATGGAGTCCTCTGTGAAGCACATGGCCTTTCACCATGCAAAACCAGTTCAGTTGTTGATAAACTTCTCCTCCATTCCCTCCAGTGCAATTCCCTTCCCCAGGAGTCACTGGTTCTGTTAGATCCAAAGGGATCGGATGAGGGAGGTGTGTCCAGAAAAAGGAAGCCATGTGAATAACACATTCTCTCTCTCTTTGAATTTCCCTCTCTCTCTCTATTCCCTCTCCCTACTATACACACCCTCTTGCTCTCTTACTCTCAGCTGATGATCAATGGAGTGGTAACTGCATCACATGTCCATGTCTGTTTCACTATGTTAATTTAGTTTACTTTCCATTCAATTAATGACTAGTTTTGGTAGCAATATATATTAGCCTATTTCAAATGTATATGTATTATTTATTTGTTAGATCAGCCTCTTAATAAATATTATTGAATTGACAAAAGCAAGTGTGGTGTTAGTTATTCATTTTATTATTAATTCAGAGAAGAAACTACTATGAAGTAAAAATGGTCAACTTAATATCTTCATTGCTTAGTGAAAAAAACCCTGAATATTCATATGGTGTTATTTTATCATAGTTAACATTTATGAGTTTAAACACAATGTGCCATCAATACGTTTGACAAATACTGTGATCTGTTAATCAATAATAAGACAAAAATGAATAGACTTTGCTTTTACAGAAAAAAAGAGTCTTTGTTTACTCCTTAAATTTTATCTGTAAGAAATTTAACTATTATACCACTCACTGAATTTCTTCTCAAGATTAGTCTTTATCTGACAGTAAAAAAAACAAAAAAAATGTTTGATATAGTTTTACCATTCATGCATTACATTCCTTCAACAGCACATTGTTCTGGAAGCCCTATATATAAGTGTGTTTCCATAAATGAATTTATTATGAATTTAATTGTATCAATATATCTAAGAAAAAAATATTTACTAGCAGAGTCCACAAATTCTTCAAGGTATTCTTACCTTTCCAGTGGAAACCATTATCTTTTTTGCTATCTTTTTGTTTATGTTATCGTTTTGAATTAATGTTGTCACTTATATGTAATTTGTTACTTGTAGCTATAAACAGGTCTGAAAATCGATTGTTTTTCCTTTTGAATTCAGGCTTGACAAGGTGGAAGCTGACTAAGAATACTATAGGTCCATTAGGGTTCGTGGGAACGCAAATGGGGTTCCGCCAAAATTTCTAAAAACAAAATGGCCACGGGCGGCACAGGGAACTGGCGCCCTCAGCCACCGCCTAGGTGGCCTAATGGAAGCTCTGGCGCTTTATGCTAGAGGTACTACAAACACCTTTCAACACTTAGTATTTCTAAAATACATCATTATTCTCTTATAAAATGCCAGTGTAATAAGGTTATGTACATGAAAAACCTCAACAAACAAATTATTTTTGAACAACTATAACAATTATATATGCATAGCCTTTAAACAAACTATATTATCGATGAAAAATTAAGAGGATGTCATATAATTCAATCAATATGTGCACCTAAATAAGTTCGGCCCATTATATTAAATGACAATGAAGTGCAAGATATTGGTCATGAACAGTGTGTACATTTTAAAATAATCATAACTGTGCCAGGATACTGTGATCTTTGAACTGTCATCTCAGATACATTCCATGCCATTTTGTTTACAAGACAAGAAACTTAATACTTCTACTAAATGTCATGAAATGTCAGAAACTTTTTTTTTTAGGTTTTGCAAAAATCCCTGGTTTATGACAAGTCTCCAAGAATATAATTCTATCGTTTCTCAATTTCTTCTAAATATCTTATTGATATAGTATCTGTTTTCTGGGAATTACATTTTATTCAAATGGTGAATTTCAAATTTCATATGATGAAATAAAGCAGTAGAGTTTTAAAATGTATATATATATATATTCAGTGGATTTTTTATTTTTTTTATTTTTTTTTATATATATATATATATATAATTTTTTTATATATATATATATATATATATATATATATATATATATATATATATATATATATATATATATATATATATATATATATATATATTATTAAAAAAAAACAACCCACTACATTATTTCCTCTTCCAAGTAGCATACAACACAGGGCTCCAATATCAACATTTTTTAATCCATAACCTGGACTTTTACTGAAAACAAGCCTTAATGTAGTCTGAGTAACGCACTGAAATGTTGGTACTTTTTTTTGATGCAAAATTGCATGCGGTATAGCTGATAAATCAAACCAGTGAAGTGTTTTTTTGTTTTTTTTTTAAATAAAATCTCTCATACTCAATCACCATACTGTAAATATTATCTAATAAAGTGCACTCTTGGATTCAAGATCATGACCTTGATAATTGACAAAATGGTGGACAGAATGGAGTACTGGAATGTCAACAAAAAAGGGTTTAACGGTTTACTTAATCACACACAAATTGAATTTCCAGTCCCAAAAGCACTTTTTATTATGATATTATATAGATTGCCAATGTATATGTCCCTTTATAGATCAGCCTTTCCCAAATACAGTTGCCAGAGTATTGACTGCTAGTTGCCTGTTGGTTTGTTGGTTTGTGTTTGCCAATAAATCTTAGAATATCTGCTAATCTTCTGAGGCTCTGAGGGCAGTGTAAGTCCAAGAGGCTGTCAACCCAGTGGCTCAATCAGCAAGGGCATCAAGTGTTAAGCTGTAGGCTAAATGATGTGCGAATATGTCCAGTCCCCCTTTTCTGTCCTGATTATTCAATATCTATACTTATTATACTGTTTCCTGATTAGAATTCTCATCCTATTTATTGAGTATCTGTAGTACCTGTCCTATTTTCTGAGCATGGTTAGTTTCTCTCCTTTTTCACAAGTATCCTGTGTCCTGAGTGTCCATCATTCTGAGTATTCTTCATAGTTTGAGTTTTGTTTCCAGAACATCTGTAATTCCCATTCTTCTTGCTGAGTATTTTATCTCCTGTCCTGATTTCTGACTGCCTGTAGTTTTTTCTGTTCCCTGCATATCTGCTGTTACTGCTGTTTCCTGCATATCTGTAGTTTCTGTCCTGTTTTCTGAGTATCCATTCATGGTGTCCTGTTTCCTCAGTAGCAGTGGTTGATATTTTGTCCTGTTTCCTGGGTATCTGTTGTTTCATCCATTTTTCCGTAATATCAGTTGATTTTGTCTTAATTAAGAACAAAAAACAGGGTGCAAGAGAATACTGAGAACTGGCAGCAGCTGAAATAGCCTGCCCTTCGGTGGGTCCCCGCTCAGATCTCAAGCTGGTTTTAGCTCATCTTGTGCCATTACAGAGAGAACATCTCTGAAACATATCAGACTGGTCCCACCCATACGGGCAGTCCAGATCCGAAATGCCAGCAAGTTCCCTCTGCACAAGAGACATAGCAACCCCAGACGATCGTTTCAGCCTTGTTAGGCATCTTCAGTGAGGCATAGCTGATATCTCTCTAGGCACCGTGAGCAAGGGGTCCACGCCTGGACTAATACTCTTGCGCCCCATTTTTTTCTGTCCTACTTAATTAGTAGTTTCTATCTTGTTGCCTGGGTATCAGTATTTTACTTTCTGTTTCTTGAGTATCAGTCTTTGCCATCCTGTTTCCTGCGTAACTTTAGTACCTGTCCTATTTTCTAAGTATTTGGGTGTAACAAACTGAACCTCATCACGGGTGCTTGGAGGGGCCTGCTGACCAGCCTCTTGCCAAAAGACTACGGGCAAAGTCAACTACTGTAAGGACCCATATTTTATTCCCCCTTGTTCCCCTTGTTCTGCATTTTCCATCGAACCGAACGCTAGCTCCCTGGCGGACGTTCTCATGAAGACTTTGCGGTTCCCGGTCGGTGCCCCAGCGGCACTTGGCGCGATTCTATGGAACTATTTTCAGCATAAAGACTTTTTTTCTAGCCAGTGCCGAACCAGGGGAGCCAGGGGGAATACAATATGGATAATATTTCAGATTCCCCCCAGATAATATTTCAGATACTGTAGTGACAATATTTAAACCAATTAAAAAGCAAGAGCATGTTTTTAGAAACCAGAATATTAAAGCTGGTCTCTGTTTGCTTTAGCACAAAACTCAGCAAAATTAATCAGTCAATTACTCAGAGAAGCACCCTATTCATAGAGCTATATGTTTATTGACAACTATAATTTAATTGGCCAGGGTCTAATAGCAGTATGAATTATTGCCAGAGCATATAATTCTGTAAGGTTACAATAGGAAAATTAAATCAATATTAACTATATTCTACCTGCTATAAACATGTCATTAAAACTTTTCATTCAATTTATTTTACTTGGTACAATGTTAGCAATATTCATTTTTTTCACAAAGTAATGGCATGATAACAAGTCAGCAGACTTGTACAATTATCACCTTGGCTTCACCGCTAAATTTAATTGAACATCTGGAGTGTTTTTTTTCTCCCATCTTGAGAAGGTTTTCAATAAATTCCCATTTAAAAAGAGTAACACAGCTGAGAAAACCATGTTTAACGTATATGTGTTTTAATTGCTGTTATTGCTTAGCTTTTTTTTTTGTTTTAAAGGGTTGAGGATCCACAGACTAGTCATGTTTTAAATCTATGCAAGCTTGCACACAGTTTAATGATTCAATGTAAATGGTCTAAATGTGTTTAGTTTGATATCTTAAAGCACCAGTACTCCTTCAGTGCACTGTAGTAGTTAGGTGCCTAGAGTGTTCTGGTGCCCACCTATTGAAAGTAGTCAACAATTATGGAATAGTCGACAACATAACTGGGGTCTACTACTATTTATTATATATTAAAATATATTCATATTCTTTCAAGCACAAAATTGGATACAGTTTCAGTTTGCCAAAAAAGCTGGGTATAAAACCGTTTTCATCAGAGGTCCTATGAGATATTTTAAAAGAAGCACTGTGGCGAAACCGACCTCGCCACTGGGCATTGGAGAAGACTGATTGCCGGCCTCCTGTCCTGTGACTATGGCCCCATGTTGAAAGGATGGATTTTCCCCTGCAAAGACCCAAAAGCTGGGTCTTTCGGTACTTTCCCTATGTGAGCAGTGTTACCCAGATAGCTATGCCATGGAGCCCATTTGTATAATGAAAGACTATGGGAAAGACTTTGGCTCCATGGCATTTGAACTGTATGTGTGTGCTCTGAGCGCCACTCAGTAATAATGTGCGCTCAGATCTGAGCTATCTGGGGATATGTTGAATGTACCTGTTTTGTGCAATGGCTGCACAGTTATATGTTTTTATGTGTTTTATTGTCTTTTGCTGCCATGTGGCTAATGGAGTTTTGCCTCTGTCCTGGAGATAATTGGATTACTTCCCCAATTATCTCCAGGATAGAAGACTCTGTGGAACTGGTTTTGGGCAGAAAAGCCATGCTGCATTTGGTCAAATAGGACTTTTCCTTAACTTTTGAACCACTGGACCAATATGTATGATTTTGACATATGTTTGTATTTGGAGTATGCTGATTCTGAAAATGTTAAGTTTATGTGAATGTGATGCATACTTTTCAAGTTATGAATAATGTGGAAAAACTGTATTTCTCTGGCTGTGATAATTAGATTAACCATTGTGTTCAGTAATCATATCACAGCCAGAGGGGAGGATTTTGTGTGGGAGTGTCTTTCTGTAATGTACGTGTGTTATTGGTTGTTATGTAAAACCCTGTGGGCAGTACTAAATTTGTGGATTGGGAATAAAAGAGGCTGTATGTGCCAGTCCAGTCAGTTCCTGCTTAACCCTCAAAGTGAAGTATCGTCTCATTATTGGGGGAGGATTTATTGTATGCTGTTCCAGTTTGACTGCTAGGAGTGTAAACCTATTCGCATGGTTTTTCCTATTCGGCTGTATACAACATTCAAATGCTTGAGAGCATTCATATGCTCCTACGGTTCGGTGGTTTTGGTGTCTGCTGCAGCGCGTGGAGTCCTCAGGAAGTGCTAGGAGCATCCTTCAACGGAGGTACCCAGTCGGGGTGCCAGGTGATCCGTTACAAGCACCATAAAGAGTAAACGAAAAAACATACATATGAAACATTCATATAAAAGTAAACAAAAAAGTATACGCAAATTAGTGAATAACTGTTTGAGTGAAAGATTCCTGCTTTGATGCCAAGGGTTAAAAAATTCTAAATTATGTTAACATCACAAAGTTCTCAGTATTTGGATTTCGGAGGCTGCAAATACAAGTATCTTTAAAAAGACAGCAAACAAAAGGGAAGACCTTCAAAACTGTAATGTTTAGTTGAAATAGCCAATCTATATAGGTAGATAGTTCGGTATGCCCTTCCACTCTCAAAAAAGTGTAATGAGGAAATAAAGAATCAAATTCAGAGGTGCTGATAAGGGATCTAAGTTTCGACCAATGCACATAATCTCGCAGGTATCGCGAGGAATATGTTCTGCCACAATGGAGATGTTGTGATGAAGGCAGTAATGCCAAAAGTCGATACGTTGTCCATTTAGGGAGTGAAAGAATTAGATTGTACTATTAAAACTTAACCTATAATACATTTTATGGCAAACAACCAAATAAAATCAAAAAGAAATAATAGTAAAACTATATAGAATATTGATCCCTACCTGCCTTCCTAATTATTAACGTGTATGGAGTGCACAAAATTGTGTCATAAAAGTAGGTAAGTAGAGAATACCACGTATTCACAGAGGGAGATAGTGGAATCACTCTAAGTACAATGATAGTCCTACAGGATGTAGAATTAATGAAGGAATTACAGCCAGAAAAGAATGAATTACAGAATTATTGAATTAATTAAAGCTGTAGCAGTTTTAGTCAGAGCGTGGTGTCCAAGCACAGTTACAGTGTTGCTAAATTCTGAAATTATTGTAGAAAAGAAGAGGATGGTATGTAAGAAATAAAGTAATAATGTTTCTACGGGGGCACCCCACTTAGACAACAGAGCCAAGCCACCCTCTTCCTTAGATTATTGTGTACTGATAAGGGAAGGTAGTACCTTCAATGTAGGTAATGATTAACCAGAATACCTAAATGGTAAGAGAATAGGCAATGATAATATAAACACTAATGCAAATGTGCCTTCGTGGGCACCCCCTTAAATAAAATACATTACCCCCTTAATTAGAATACATGGTAGGTGATAGATATAAGAAAAGTATTTCCAAATCACACAAGGTTTTATATATAGTAAGGTGCTGCAGACATAGCATACACTCTGATAGCCTTCGATATCCTTGTGTCTGTTGACAATACTAATAGTCTGTAAGGCACCAAGAGCCCCTGATGTGCACATTTTGCCAAAGTGGCTCATTAGAGGTTTTGTAGGATGACCAAATGCAGATAAGATGCCTTGAGGTATTGAAGTGCTCGATAGTAAGGAAGACCTGGGAAAATTGCTTGTATGGACAAGGTGATGAGATTGATTATGCAGGCGAGGTGCCTGAGAGAAAGAAAATCATGTTTGAGATGGTTTCTTTCTTGATTAATTTTATCTTGTCCCTTGGTAAATGTAAAGTTTGATGTACAGCAAATAGTAGGCAAGTAAATCTCCACTTTTCCCCCTTCCAATGGAATTGGAGGAAGTTCCGATGAAATTCTGCGATTGGAACCATCAGATAAGCATCTTTCAGATCCAACTTGACCATCCAGTTCGAAGATAATTATAGATCCCAGAAGTAGTGAATGACCTCTATTTTGAAGTGTGGGTAGTGGATGAATGCATTTAGTGGCTTTAAATTGATAACAGGACAAAATCCAGAAGTGTCTACTATGGTATTACCTGGATGGCATTCTTTGAGAGTAATTCGACAATTTTGTGTGGAATCAGTTCTCGATTTCTGTGAGATGTCACCAGCTCTCTGGGTGGAAACACCTGTAATAAAGCAGAAACAAGAAAGGTGTGGACTTGTATTCCGGAGCAGGTGAACATGCAGCAAAGTCTGTATGAGCCACGGCACCACAGCTGGCTCCTGGTTCTTCTGGCCCCTCAAACCTTAGGTGAGAACACCTTTTTTAACAGAAATTGTAGCTTGTCCAAGACAGTAAAGGTTTTAACAAAAGTGCTTCAATCTTTTACAAAAGATTTGCCAAAAAAGAGTCCCTTAGCAGCTGTCCCAGGTTCATTAACAGAGATATTAACCAACTTCGACTTGATTTTCAAGAGAATTGCCTTTCAGCATTCTGTAGATAATGCAGAATTGGTGTTGCCCAACATACATATGATGCGTTGGAGGCAGCCCTTTGTCACATCAAATTTAAATTGTTGTGAACCTGTATGAGAGGCTTCAATCAGGTCATACTGTTTTGTCACCAAACCCAATATATCCAAGAGTTTATCTTGTCAATTTTTTTAGGGATTCAACCCATTTTAGATGTAAACTGGGTAAATTGAGGATCCACTTCAGGGGTCTTGCATGGCTGGCCTGGCATTATGGGGCAAGGG